TCCTGCGAGTCCTGGGTTTCTCTTGCCCGTTTCTGCCCATATTCCATCCCCTGCTCCCATTCCTAATGCCTAGGTCCAAAGCGTCAACGGCAGCGGGGGGTTGCGCGGATAGTGTCATGGGGGACATCGTTGTGCCTGGGGCGGCAGCCTGCCTCCTTCTTTTTTTTATTCAGACTAGATATAGGGAAGAAATTTTTTACAATGAGGGTGGTGAAACCCTGGCACAGGTTGCCCAGAGAGGTGGTAGATGCCCCATCCCTGGAAACATTCAAGGTCAGGCTGGACGGGGCTCTGAGCAACCTGATCTAGTTGAAGATGTCCCTGCCCATGGCAGGGGGGTTGGACTAGATGACCTTTAAAGGTCCCTTCCAACCCAAACTATTCTATGATTCTAAATTCAGCACCAGGCCACCCTTCCTTGCCTCAGCCCCTTGTCTTCCTCATGCCCTATTTTGTCCTCGTCCTCTTCCCACCTTTGTTGTGCTTGATCTGCCCTTCTTTCTCCTGCTGGCACTGCACTGCATCCCCCCATCCTGCCCCTCTGCTCTCCTCTGCCCCGGTGCCCCCTGCCCAGAGCGCAGGCACCGGCACCAGCTCACCTCCCGGTCTGAAAAGCAGGTACATCCCTGGAAAAGGGTCAAGCTAAATGCGCAGTACTGAGCGTGCCTGGGCCAAACAGGTGGATTTTCACAGGAAGGCCAAAAGACATCCCAGGTATAAATGCTAGACATAAAATTGCATGTTTTCATTTGTTCTTTTAAACAATTGAAGGTTTTCACTAAAATATTCCAGGGTATGGATAAACACAAAACTTCTGCAGCCTACAGCAAGCTGGCAGGGCACCAATACTTTAAGGCAAAATGGTCATAGTCTGGCAAAAGTAAACATGCAAGTGAAAATAGGATCCTATAATCGCCCTCCTTGTGATAATTTCTTAAAGCCTGTATCAATGAAAGGTAAAGCTTGTCAGTGTAAAAACTAAGCAATGCTGGAGTAAACTTCCTTTGTGCAAAGTTAATTGTGTATCTGCATTATTATAGTGTGTTTAATTACATGATCACACGCTATTTTCACCCATG